GGTGAACCCCGGGCTGCCACAGTGGAGCGTGCGCACTTAACCGCTTGCACCACCGGGCCAGCCCCTGAGATCTTCTTTTTTGATTTAAGCATTTACAGCTATAAATTTTCCTCTGTCTTTCCTTTTTAATAGACAACTTTGCCCCTAGGCTTTGTCTAGAAAAAAAACTTAGAACAAAGGCAGAGACCAGCAGCTGTTTATTAAGGGCACTTTATTGCTTCTTCCTCTCTCTGGGCATGTCCTGTCTGCTGGCTCTTGGCTTGAGCCTCGGAAGGACACCGGACAGTTCACACACTGGACAGTCAACACATCTTCCTAGGCTTCTTGGCAGGGGAGTGGGTTGGAAGGAGGTTGTCGCTTCTCACAGTGTTCTAGGGGAGTGGTCCATAATGCTGCTCATAATGTGGGCTCAGTCAGGGGTGGTCATGGCTAATGAAATGATGGCCCAATGTGCTCTGGGCCTCTTTGGGCCCTTACATGACACTTAAGTGTTTTCAACCAATATTCTCTCTCTACTGATTTGTTTTTTAAGTGGCATTTGTATAAGGTATTCTATGCTGTGTGTGTGTGTGTGTGTGTGTGTGTGTCCGTGTCCTGAATGACACAAGTGAAATCCTACTTTATAGCATGCTCAACAATCCATACTCAGAAGTACTATTTCCATAGCACAGAAAACAAAAGACATATTAGAAAAGACACATAGTTAACATTTCTGTGTTTATTTTTATGGCGTAAACTGGATGGATGGATGATGGATGGGTGGAAAAGACTGTTCTGATAGCTTTTTCCAAATGAGGGGCCGCCCCCTGCTCAGTGTCCCCAGAGGGCCTGCTCTTCTGAAATGGGTTCTAAGCTCCAGGCTGGGAGGGCCTCCATGGGCCAGGAAATGCCCCGTAAACCTGGTTCCCTCTGCCTGCCCTCCCCCCAACACAGGGCTGATCCCCAGGCCTGGCCTGGGAGGTGTGATGACCGCAGTGTCTCCCTAGGGCGTCTGTGAGGAAATGACCTACGAGGAAATTCAGGATCATTATCCACTGGAGTTTGCCCTGCGGGACCAGGACAAGTACCGGTACCGGTACCCCAAGGGGGAGGTAGGTGGGCTTTGGGGGCTTGGTTCCAGCCATCTGCTGCCTGCCTGAGACGACCCCCTATGGCTGAGGGCCTGTGGGGCTCTGCGGAGGCTGCGTGGGCAGCAGGAGGGCCTGGCTTCAGGGGTATACCAGCCTGGGTGTGTGTGATCTCCACCACTTTCTGGCCATGTGGCCCAGGCTGTAGTCTCCTCCTTGGGTGGTCAATGGACAGTGCTGCACAGGGCTCCTAACCCTGATTCCCGCTGGGTCCCCATAATTCCCCATCTTTGCCTTCCCGTTTCCTGGGGTATCACAGGGTGATCCTGTCCTCCCTGTGGCTCCAGGCACCACCCCTAGCCCTGAATCCATACCTAGGCAGACTTTCCCCAGATGGGTCGGTGGCCACTGCAATCCACCTGCACTTGTCACCTTTCCTCAAACTGGCTCCTGCCTCTGCCCAGGCCCCAGGTCACAAACAAGGTCACCTTTAACTTGGGTATCTCCCACTTCCAGCAGGTGGCCTGGGGCAGTGGCCCAATTAAAATACCCCCACAGACACACAGGTGTGTACACACATACACGTGCGCACATAGAAGCCCCTGTCCAGATGCCAGGCTCGCAGCCTCCTGTCCTGTACTGTCCACAGGAAGAGTACAGCTCTGGGTAACGTTAATTACTCCCCACATCAAACTGTGAGGCAGAGCGCAGATTTAGAACCAACCCAGATAACAGTAAAAAGAAACAAAACAGTTGGCTGTGCAAACTTGAGAATACAGGGGGGAAAATTGGTAGGGAAATTATAGTTACCAAAAGAACCAATCAAGGATTTCCCTAGGACTACCAGGGGCCAGCACAAATCCACATTGCTTTTGCTCCCAATCAAAGCATGGGGCAAATTCACCTCTGACTGCTTGAGGCCTTTATTTTTTAGAAGGACCGCTCATTGTGTGCAAAGAGGGATGAAACCCCCCGGGGCTTGGTCTCCTGGTGAAAATCTCTAAACCTACCAGGTGGAGGGATTGGTCCAAGGGCCCCCACAGGCTACCTCAAGCTACCCAGTGGGGTACAGGGCAGGCAGACTGCAAGGATCGTTCCTGGGGACCTCAAGTATTTCTGACAGGTCACACTCCGGGAAGTTTTGGGGTCTTTCTGTGCACTCTGTCTGCTGTGGCCTGGAAAGGAGCAGTGTCTTTTCCACCAGTCATCAGTTACCAGCATGTGAATTCCAGCAGCTGAGGGTTCAGCGAAGGGCCCCCTGGGTGGGGAGGTGGCCCCTTGGGATGGCAGCCTGAGGCCCAGCCCTGCTCTCTCAGTCCTACCAGTGATCCCTTTCCCGGGCTACCAATCCCCACCCCCTCAGCTCCCTCTCAAGTGGACAGCTCACTGGCGCAGTCCTATAGTGGCAGGCCCCAGCACTGAGCTGCCCACCCCCAGGCCCTCAGGAGCCAGGCTGGAGGACACTTAGCCACAGCCTCACAGAGTGGTGCGGAGTTCCAGGAGTGAGAAGGTAGCCCACTACCCAGGATGTCTCCATCCCTGCCCCTGGAGCTGGGCCTGAGGGACCCTTCCTGCTTGCCCTTGCAGTCCTACGAGGACCTGGTCCAGCGACTCGAGCCTGTCATCATGGAGCTGGAGAGGCAAGAGAATGTGCTGGTCATCTGCCATCAGGCTGTGATGCGCTGCCTTCTGGCCTACTTCCTTGACAAGGCAGCAGGTGTGGGCCCTAACCCCGGAGAGGTGGGGGTGTATGTGAGAGAGAGAAAGAGACTGTCACCTGGGCATCCCTGGTGTGCCAGCCCTCCCTATCTGTGTCCACAGAACAGCTGCCCTACCTCAAGTGTCCGCTGCACACGGTTCTGAAGCTGACCCCTGTGGCTTACGGTAAGGAAGCTTCCTATGCACTGACCTCGGCTGCCAGACTCTGGCCCTCTACAGGGTTCCATGACTTTCTGAAAACCCCTTCGAAATTCTATTAGAAGTTCACTCCTCCTCCCTCCACCCCACTGTCTTTTCCAATTTGCGTTTTAATTTTTTTGTTTTTGTTTCTGTGGCCACAGGAAGCCTCCCCAGTGATCCTTCCTTAACCATCACCCGCCCACACGAGGGCTTTTCTACTGGTTTTTCCAAAACCCCCACCCACCCCGGACCTGGAACTTAAAATATTCTGGGTGCAGGGTGGTTTGCATCCCACCTCTGACTTTGGCTATGCCAGGGCAGTCCTCAGACAGCTTCCTATGCTCTTGGGCTCGGCTTGGCCCCTTCAGCACAGGCTGCAGCACACCCAGGTGGTTGTGCTCTCGGGAGTGACTGTAAAGCTTGGTGGCAGCTGGTGTCATTCCAGTGTGTGCTTATCCCTCATCCCTGATTACACTGAGCACCTGGCACGATGTTGATTCGGCCGTGTGTGTGAGACAGGATTGAGTAGGAGTGCTCTTGGGCCCCTAAAAACTGAGCATTATGACCTCATGCTGAACCAGGCTTGTTGCTTCTCAGACCGCCCTCAGGTTGGCAGCTTGAGCCGTCAGTGTGGCTCTGCCTGGGTGTCTGAGCTCCCCACTGAGGCTGCGCCAGGCAGTGGCACATAAGCACGGGCCTGACAAGGTGTGTCGTCCTTCCTTGTGGGGCCCCCAGAGCTGCCTCAGGTGGGAGGACTATGGTGAGGCTGAGGCGCCTGCTCTATCCCCCAAGCCCCACGCCTCCTCCTGCAGTAAGTTTCTACCCTCTGTGGCTCCAGCTGCCTTTCAGGAGGGAGAATGGATTGGCGTCTTCCCTTTGGCAGGTTGTAAAGTGGAGTCCATATTCCTGAACGTGGTGGCTGTGAACACGCACCGGGACAGGCCTCAGGTAGCGATGGGGTCACTGCTGGGGTGGTGGGCATGTTCCTGGGGGTGTCCAGACACAGCATCTTCCAGGGCCAGGCCCAGCTGGGGTGCTTGCCAGAGTGAGCTTGAGTTCTCTGCCTGGGCTGCTCTCCTGTCTGCAGGGTGAGCCCAGGACTCTGGGTGTGGCCTTGGGCTAGGTCTTCCCCAGGGCGCTGCTGGGGGTGGGGGTTTGGGGGGGTGGGGAAGTCCCTGGAGCTGGGCCACCAGGCTAGGAAGCGCCTGAACCTGGGTGTGACTAGCTCCCCAGCAGCCCCACCACAGAGGTCTGAGCCAAGGAGGGAGGTCCCAGGTGGGGAAGAGTCTGGAGGCCTACAAGGGGGCAGGAGGGGATTTGTCCATGCTCCGCCTGCAGCCCCGGCCTCATGAGCACCCTTTTCAACTCCAGCACCTTTAAAAACTAAAACATTATGCTTTGTTGGGGAAGGGGCCATGCAGATGCCGAGGGAGTCTCTGGCCTGGGCAGAGGCCTTCCTGCAGAAGAGCAGTTTGCCACCCTATGTTCCCCCAGTGTCTGGTTTAAGATAGAAGCTCCTCGAAGTGTTGCCCAGAACCATTTTCTATGCCCACATGGGGTCCTTCCACCACACTGATTACCTCTCCTACTGAGGCCAAGGGCAGGACTGCCCTTTCCGAACCCCATTCCCGGAGTCCCCTTGGCCTTGAGATCCACAGGCAGAGATGTGTGGGTGTGTCCTCCTATTTCCCAAGTCTGCTGCCTCTCACCAGCACCAGCCTCTTCCCCGTTTGCCCTGAGAGTCTGGTCCAGGCCCAGTCTGGCACCCACAGGTCACAGGGGAAGGCATGTCCTAACAGGCATCCTTTGTGCTGAGGAAAACTCAAATGGCATCGGGCCCCCAGCATTGACTGACCAGGTGGTGGTGAGAGAGACCCCTGGACACAGCAGGTGTTGGGGGCTGACCCCGACCCGGTCCACAGGGCAGGAGCTGGCATGGCCATGAGGTAGCGGCAGCCATCCTGTCTGCCTCTGGGTGGGTGCTTCTGAGACGCAAACTTCTGCTGACCACAGATTTGGGATGGTTCCCTTTCAGTGGGCAGGATCCCCAGGTCCTAGCTCATCCTTGGGGGCAGGCTGTGATGAGAAAGAGGGCACTCAGGAAGCCTGCCCCCATTGAGAATTGCACCTGCCCTTACAATCCCAGTGGCCGGTCCTGTGAACCTGGGGCTGTGGCCATGGGGGTCATGTCTCCCTCCCTGCAGATCTGGGCATGTCATGTTGTGCAGGGCTGCAACCCAGGTCATTGGTGACCTGTTCCAGTGGGCCACCAGGATTTGGAGTCACATAGGACAGTCTTGTAGAGCTGAGGGAAGTCTCAGGCCCCCTGTTTCTTAAGCCTGAGATGCCCTGAGCTGAGCAGGCTGTGGGCGGAACTGGGCTCTGCAGCTTGGCAGGGGCCATCTGTAGCTCAGGGCGTCAGGAGGTCCAGGGGGCCAGGTGTTCCTCCACAGTTGACCTAGACCTGAGGCAGGAGGTGGGGACAGCTTCGTTCTGGGTAATGCCTGACCTGCCTGCCAGGAGCAAGGGGAACCGGAGGCATCCTCCAACCCCTGCCTTTGTTCTTGTGTTCCTCCACCCACCGTATGTCGAGAGATTCTTGGCCACACTCTTAGGGAAGGTTGGGGTCTGGAGTCCTGCTACCAGGGCTCCTCTGGGTAAGAATGTGAGCCCAGACGGCCACAAGCGATGAGGAAAACACACAGCGGGTGTCAGTCTATTCTTGCCACAGGGTGAATGTTCTGTGTTTTTATTTTTGTGCAGAATGTAGACATCTCAAGGCCTCCGGAGGAAGCCCTTGTCACAGTCCCTGCTCACCAGTGACTGTGTCTCGTCCACTGTGACCCCTGGGCAGGCATTGACCTCTGCAGATGAGGTCATTCCAGGCCTCCCGGTCTTTGTGACAGTCACGACGCAGGAATGCCCTCAAAGCCATGCATGGCTGGTGGCGCCCAGAACCCCCGCCCCAGCCCAGCTGCTTCCTTGTTGACAGTCTGAGACGGGGTTGTACGTGGTGCCTGGCCTGCTGCTAAAAATCCTTCGGCCAGGCTGCGTCTGCCCTGGGCTGGTGAGAGGTTTCCCAGCACCTGATCCCTCTGTTGCAGCTTTTAGGTGTTCTCTCTCACTGGTCGGGTTGGCTCTGTGAAGTGTTAAACCCTAAAATGTGAAATGGAAAGCACTTGCTGTGATGTTCCCACCATGGCCAAGCTGCGGGGTGGACCTGGGGACCCCTGCAGGGGCTCTGCTCTCCTCTCTGTGGCCACTTCCTGAGCCAGAAGCACGGTCTTCATGGGATCTTGAGCTGCTGCTGCCTCAGGGGAGAGGGAGGGCTCTTCCCATCCTGCCCTGCCAGGAACCGAAGGGCTTCCGCCAAGGCAGACACCTCCACTGGTCAGGCCCTTGTGTCCATGCTGCCTCATTTGAGGACGCTCATGAAAGCAGTGTGCTCACTTCAGCACGTTGTCATGTGCAGAAACATGTAGGGAGCGGAGCACTCGTGGTCACCTCTTCCCAATTGTGCATACACTGGAATACTTGGGGGAGCTGGGGGCCAAGGCTGGCCTTTCCCAACTGCTCTCATGGTGAAACCATGTAAAGACAGGGCGGTTGTGTGAGTTACCCTTCCCAGTACACACTCCCACATGTTTGAGAGAAGGGCTGCTGTCCCATCTTCCCCTCCCGGCCCTGCCCCCAGGCTGCCTCTCACCAGTTGCTGCCTGTGTCCACACAGGAGTGTACACTGGTGGCAGGGACATGCATTTGCTGTGAATGATTCAGAAAAGCTTGTTGTGGTCCTATAAAGCTTGTCCTGGCTTTTGTGACCTCCTCCTGTGGGGCTGAGCAGAGGAAAGGCCAGATCCCAGAGGCAGCCCCCGTCCAGGGGAGGATTTTCCCAGCCACCTCACAGCTTTTCTTTCACGTGCGTGGTAGCCTGGTGAAAACAACCTTGGGAAGGCTGCCATCTGTCACCCCCCTGAGTTCTTTTGGGCCCAGAGAGACAGACTGGGCAGTGAGTTCTGGTTCCATTTTATAGCTGAACAAACAGATTGGCCAGCAAGTTGGGCTGGGTGAGAAAGCGTGTGAATTTGTAGTCAGATGCCCTGCTGTCCACAGGTGGTCTTTGGTGAAGCCAGGCCCCAGGATCCCAAGCCTGCTTTGTACCTAGAATCTTTCCTAGGCTGTGTCTAGCAGAGCAGCCACCTTTCCCAGCCCCCCAGGGCTTTGCAGCCTGCAGGTGCCACCTGCCCCTGAAGGAAGTCGTGTTCCTGGCCCAGCTGGTGTTCTCTCAGCTTCGTGTGCTGCAGTACCTGTGGACAGACCTGGGTGGAGAGACGTCCAGGGCAGGGCTGGGGCAGGATTCTCCTTCTGGACTTGTCTCCCATCAGACCCTCAAGCCCCTTAGACCAAGGCCAGAGTACCATGCCACTGCCTTTGGGACATGGAGACTGCAGCCTTTGCTTCTGTGTCCCCCAGAGTTTTGGTGACTTTTGGTCACCTGGGCACACTCATTTGTTGGCCGTAGTGGGTCCCTTCAGTTAGTAGCATGTACATCTGGATGTCCCTACCTCTTCAGGACCTCTGGCCAGCTGAGGCAAGATCAGCAAGGCCTTTTCTCTCTGTGTCTGGAAGTCAGTCAGGAGCTGCTTGACCTGGATGTGTTACAACGACTGGGATAGGGCAGAGGGAAGTCTGGGGTCACAGCCTGGGCTGGGGCAGCCCCTCTCCCCACCTGCCCTGAGTGGTCCTTGCATGAGCTTCAACCCACGTGGTTGGCTGCCAGGTGTTAGCCGTGACGGTCGATGTGGGTGTTGCAGAGGTTCTGCCCTCCCTGGAATGGATGGTGTTGGAGCTCAGCCACACATCACACTGTGTCCAGCATTCTTTGCAATAAATCCTTTAAATAATAATAGTAATCTAAGGTTATATCTTGTGGCCAGCTCTGCATTTGTGAGGTGTTCTTTCCAGCTGGCACTGCAGACCCCCATGTTGTGGTCTCTCCTAGGTCTGTGTTGGGATCCTTGGTCCAGCTCCACCCCCCCCATGCCTACCCGTCTCTGGAGAGGAAACTGTCTTGCCCTGGAGTGAGCCCTGGGCCTGGCACATACGGGCAGGGACAGGGCCCGAGTTTTCTCTGGGCCGACCTACGGTTCTGAGCCCTCACCCCTAACAAGAGGCAGATGTGTGGGGGTATCCAGGGTGGAACACCATTAAGGGGAGGATTCTGGGGTCCCTGGAAATGTGGGTCCCAAATATTGGCATCCCTGGGGAGGGGAACCAGGGACTGGGTGGAGGATGGAGGGGCTGCACGAGGCTGTGGGTAGGGGTGCGTTGGCTAGGTTTGTGGTGTTTTCTTTGTCACCTACTTCTAGGGTGGGGAAGATGGTGAAAAGGGGCAGGGTTTTCCCTTTCCCATGCCTCAGAATTTCATTGGACTTTCTATGCCTCCTGCCCTCGGACTGGGCTGTTGGGAGGGCGAGTTGTAGGGGTGCTCCTCCATGGACACGGTGGGGCTGAGCGTGCTGGGTGCCCACCTTCACCTCTCCTAGTGTGTCAGGGCGGAGGGTGGCTGTGGCTGGGCAGCTTCTGGGTGGTTCGGGGTTATGAACAGCTATGGCTATGCCTTACCCAGCTGTGTCACGGTGGATGACAGAAACCCCTGGGCTTCATCCTGGGACTCAAAGGGATATCAACTATGTCTGTCTTCCTGGTGAGTGAGGTTGGGTGAGTGAGTTCCCTGGGTGGACACCTGACCTCCTTGGAGGCTTCAGCACTTTTTGAAGAAGGCGTTGAAGATTTTTAGCAGCAAAGCAACAGCAGAAGGGATGAAATATAACTATCAGAATTTTTCTTTCGATCCAATGTTCTACCACAACCTAGAAATAGTGATTATATATTGTCATGTTGAAGAATTTTATAGCATTTTGGGTTGCTAGGAAACAATGGCCATCAGGTAAGATCAGAGGACATTTGGATAGAATAAAATGTTGTTGCAAAGATATAGGTTTCAGCAACATTTGAATTATAGTATAATAATTATATACCATATATTAATAAAATAAAGTATAATTATTACCTGCGAAGAAGAGTATTGCCATATTTGGTTTAGACCAATCATTATTCATTCCCTGGGGCTGGGCACATTGTTGTTTGAACAAAAGTATTTTATTGAAATTGAAAAATGGCTGGTGTCCGCCACACCCTGGTTAATGGTCACAGGTCTCTGGGAAGGGTTGTGAGGAAAGTGCCTGCATGAACCTGTGCGATTTTCACAGGGCCTCCTTAAAGAGCATCCACCCCACTTCCTCCAGGAGCCCCTGGGTTTGTAAACTGATCTGATCTGGAAAATTGGTAAGAAATCTCTCTGTTGCAGTCAGGTCTCTGTTGGGCAGACCTCCACTTCTTTTGTTATACACGTCAAGTAGGACTCGACCTGCCCCCATCTTCAATTTTGGTCTTGGGGGCCTGGTGATCCTGCCAAAGATCCTTCCAGGTCTGACCATTCAGATTACCTATAAATCCTACTGCATGTCATGGTCTCCACATCTCTCCTCTGGCAGGTCAATGCTGCTTCTTAGCCCTTGTCGCCCAGGGTCCTGGTATCTGCATTGAAATCAAGGAGCCATTTCAACTATAGTGGCTCCAGTCAGAATCCCTGACCCATGGAGAGCAGTGACTGTGGCACTTGTTATGGGGTGAATTGTGTTCCCCCCTGAAATTCACACATTGAAGACCTAACCCCCAGTACCTCATGATGTGACTTTATATGAAAATAGGGTCCTTGCAGATGTAATAAGTTAAGATGAGGTCATACTGGAGTATGGTGAGCCCCTAATCCAAAATTCCCTAGCGCCTTCAGAGAGAGCCTGGACCTGGTGACACCTTGGTTTCAAGCTTCCAGCCTCCAGAACTGTGAGACAATAAATTTCTGTTGTTAAGCCACTCAGTGTGCGGTACTTGGTTACCGCAGCCCGAGCAAACTGAAACTTTTCAAAGATGCTCCCCTCGGTAATGGACTTCCAAAGGCCTTGGTGAAGGGAGTATCTTCTGGGTCCTCTGCAGGGACTCAGGGAAAGGTGAGTTGTCCGTGATAAATTCAGCCCAATATTTATTTGAATGAATGAGTGAATCTTCTGAGGCTTTGGAGTCTCCTCTATACCAGGGAGCTTTGGGCATCTCAATTGCATTTGGTGAGACTCAGCTTTCATTTCAGCCAACCAAATAGACACGGAGAACAACCCCAGTAGCTTAAGGCAGTACCTCGAATCCAAAATTTCTGGCAAGTGCACCTGCATTGATAAATTCAGCCCAATATAAACTTATTTTCTAATCTCCTTGGTCCAGGACCTCAATCTTTTCCCACACATCTTCTCCATATTTTGGCCAACACAAATAACAAAGTCTTAACAATTCTTTTGCTATATAAGCCTTCCCTTCTGGATTTGACTTTAATAAGGTCTCCAGACATGCTGGAATCCACCTCTAGTCTAAGGCACTGGAGCTATTAAGGAATTGGGGAGAAGGGGTATCAGAAGAGTTGGCTCCCCTTGCAAAGTAACTCCCTCATGAGATCTCAGGGGAGAACACCTTGCTTCAGTGAGCAAGGGAGGTGCAGAAGGGCTGGGGTTGGTGATAATCTGATTCCTCTGAGTTTTTTCATATATCTTCATTCTGCTTAATTCATTAACAACACATTAAGTGCCTACCATGGGCTAAGCCATGGGGATACAGCATAAACATGACAGGCAAACTCCCTGCTGTCTCAGAGCTGACATTCTCATGGTGGGAGACACAGTAAAGAAATAAAAGATATTGGGCCTGCAACATCTCTCTGGCTACTGCTGAAACAAGAATAGACTCTAGGGCCTGGCCCGGTGGTGTAGTGGTTAAGTTCGCACACTCTGCTTCGGCAGCCCGGAGTTCCCGGGTTTGGATCCCGGGCATGGACCTGCACACTTATCAAGCCATGCTGTGGCAGTGTCCCACATACGAAATAGAGGAAGATATTAGTTGAGGGCCAATCTTCCTCAAGCAATTGGCAACAGATGTTAGCTCAGGGCCAATCTTCCTCAAAACAAGACAAAAAAAGAAATAAAGATGTAGTATATTAGAGGGTGCTGGGACAGAGGGGAGGGCCTCATTCAGAGGGTGACCAAAGGCCTGGATGAAGCCATGGAGCATTCCACAACCAGTGCAAGGCTCTGAGGGCAGGCTGTGCCCACAGAGTTGCAGGAACGTAGAGGAGGCTGGGGTGGCTGCAGAAGAGGGAGTGAGGAGGAAGAAAAGGTCAGAGGTCATGGGGTGCAGATGATGTGGGGCCTTGGAAATGGGGGTCCCGTGAAGGGCTTTGAGCCGAGTGAGTTGATCTGATGAACATTTTTAAAGGATCCCTCTGGCTACTGCTGAATCAAGAATAGACTCTAGGGCTGGCCCCGTGGCTTAGCGGATAAGTGCGCGTGCTCTGCTACTGGCGGCCCAGGTTCGGATCCCGGGCGTGCACCGACGCACCGCTTGTCTGGCCATGCTGAGGCCGCGTCCCACATACAGCAACTAGAGGGATGTGCAACTATGACATACAACTATCTACTGGGGTTTTGGGGGGAAAAAAAAAGGAAGAGGATTGGCAATAGATGTTAGCTCAGAGCCGGTCTTCCTCAGCAAAAAGAGGAGGATTACCATGGATGTTAGCTCAGGGCTGATCTTCCTCA